AAAAAAAAAAAAAAAAAAAAAAAAAAAAAAAAGAAAAAAGAATTAGGTGGAAACAAGCTAAAGAAAAATCTACGTTGACATCACACTTGTTCGTTAAATCGAACATCTTTTGCAAATTTTTATTACGGAATACGCTCGCGAGAATCATGGAAGACCAGGCACCCGGAATTTTCCACTCCGTGCGGCCGTTCATCAGCGTGATCGACCGGCTGCGCGACGTCGGATTGAACCAGTACATCAACTTGCCACGGATCGTTGTGGTCGGCACGCAGAGCGCGGGCAAGAGCAGCGTGCTCGAGGGCATCGTCGGCTACGGGCTGCTGCCGCGCGGCGAAGGCGTGGTCACGCGGCGGCCGATAGAGCTGCGGTTGAGCCACGTGAAAGACAAGCCGATCAGCGTCGTGTTTGACCAGGACACCGACCACAAGCCGTACTTCGACATGGACGCCGTGCGCGAGAAGATTCAGCAGTACACGGACGACACCGCCGGCCGCAACAAAGGCATCATCTCGAGCCCGCTGCTGCTGAGCATTTCGGGCAACGACTGCCCCGACCTCACGCTGGTCGACTTGCCGGGCATTACGCGCGTGCCGCTAAAGGGGTCGGACCAGACAGACGACATCGAGGCGTTGACGCGCACGATGTCCTACAACTACGTGAAAGACCCGCGCACGGTGATCCTCGCGGTGATTCCCGCGAACCAAGACATCAGCACGAGCGACGCGCTGCAGCTCGCGCGGAAAGTCGACCCGCAAGGTGAGCGCACGATCGGCGTGATCACGAAGCTGGACTTGATGGACGAAGGCACGTCGCCGGTCCGCGTGATTCTCGGGCTCGACATTCCGCTGCGGCTCGGCTACATCGCGGTGAAGAACCGCTCGCAGAAGGACATCAACGAGAACCGCGCGATCAAAGAGGTGCTCGCAGACGAAGCGGCGTACTTCCGCTCGCGCAAGTGGATCAACGAGGTGCCGAACGAGAGCGTGGGCATGCACAACTTGACGGACAAGCTGTCGCGCGTGCTATACAGCCACATCAAGGGCTTTCTGCCGAGTCTGAAGAGCGAGATTACCGGCGCAATGAAAGAAGCGAGCGACGCGCTGGACGCGCTCGGCGTGAGCATTCCGCCGAACGCGGCGGGCAAGACGCAGCTGATCTGGAACATGCTGAACGAGTTTAGCGAGCTGTTTAACCGCGCGATCTCGGGCAACTACGACTTGCGACTCGCGCAGTACCTCGACGAGAACGTGTACCGGCTCTGCAGCGGCGCGAAAATTCGCTCGCACTTCAACCATCTGCTCGAAGAAGAAGTCACGCACAACGCGATGGAGCGCATCACGGACGACGAAATGGAGCACGCGATCGCACTGCATCAGGGCGACACGCTGCCCGGCTTCCCGTCGGCGGACACGTTCAACTACTTGCTCTCGCCGGCAATCGGCCGGCTGCGCCGGCCGATCGAGGAGTGCTTGGAGCGCGTGGCGGAGACGCTCGAGCTGTTGACGGAGAAGTTGGTGGGCTCGCTGTTTTACCGCTTCCCTTCGCTGGGCGCGCGAATTTTGGAGTTGAGCATCGCGCTGCTGGACAACACGAAGCAGGAGGCGCGGCGCCGGCTGCAGGACGTGGTGGACGCGGAGCTGGGCTACTTGTTCACGAACGACCCGGAGTACTTGCAGGCGCACGGCGCTCTGGCGACGCGCGGGCAGAAAGACGCGCCGGCGCGCAGCCAGAGCGCGACGCCCGCGCACCTGCACTACATCAGCGAGACGCGCGCGCGGCTAGCGTCGTACTACGGCATCATGCTGCACAACATCCGCGACACGATTCCGAAAGTGATCGGGTTCTTTCTGGTGCGCGATTTGCAGAAGAAGTTGCAGTTCGAGCTGTACAACACGATCCGGGAGAACGCGGAGGAGCTCGAGCTGCTCGACGAGCCGGAGAACATCAAGTTTCAGCGCGCGCAGCTCAGCAAGAAGCTGGCGACGCTGCAGGAGGCGCTGGCGGTACTGCAGAAGGACCGGCGCATAAACTCGTTCTCGACAGCGGTGGCGAACCCGACGCACTCGCACTCGCACTCGCGCTCGTTCGACTCGGCGGGCGACGCGGCGTCGAAGCCGAGCCCAATCGTGACGCGGCCAAAGCAGTCGCGGCAGTCGGGGCCGCCGGCGCAGTCGGGCCCGGAGCTGGAAAAGTCGCAGAGCGGGCCGTTCAAGGCGAAGTCAAAGCTGGCGAACGTGTGGCACTAACATGTGGCACTAGCACGCGGCGGCGGCGGACGCGGCGGCGAACTTGTGCTTGCGCGGCTTGCCGTAGTGGACGACGAGGCGCAGCGCGTCGCGCTGGCGCAGCTGCACAGCTCGGAACTGGTCGAAGATGAGCGGGAGCCGGTTCAGCGGGACGGTGAGAGGCGCGTCGTTGGGCAGCACGGCGAGCGGCGCGCCGAGCACGCCGGCGGCGGCGGGCAGCGCGCCGGCGGCGGCGCAGAAGTACTCGAGTTCCGCGGTGTGGTAGAGCTGCGAGGCGACGCGGCACTTGTGCAGGCGCAGGAGCGGCTCGAAGACGTCGGTGCCGAGCTGTTGCGCGTCGGCGACGCGCCAGACGGCGTGCGGGCGGTCGAGGTCGAGGTGGAGCTCTTTTTTGAGGAGCAGCGCGTCACGCCAGGGCGCGAGCTCTGCGGGCAGCGGCCGCTGCGCGGCGAGCGCGCGGTAGAGCTTCACGAAGCGCGCGGCGCGAAGCGCGAGGGGCGGCGCGAAGAGCACGCTCGCGAAGTCCACAAGCTGGCCGTTGAACTGGACGGGCAGCGAGAGCTCGAGCGCGTCGCCGCGGCAGGCTTGCGCGGGCAGGTCGCCGTAGCAGGCGGCGACGGGCGAGGCGCGGCTGTAGCAGGCGTCTTTGAAGAGCGTGACATGGCGGCGCGCGCGCGCGGGCAACGCGTGGAACACGAAGCGGAACTGGTGCCAGGCGGGCGCGCCGACGGTTTGGAAGCTGACGGCCAGCAGGTAGACGTCGTTGGCTTGCACGCGCGGGCCGAGTTCGGGAAAGAGCAGCAGGTCGGCGCGCGTGCGGCCGGCGGCGCGCTGGAGCGCGAGGTCGACGGCGAGCGCGGCGCTCCACGCGCCATGCACGTTCTGGAAGCGCTGGCGAAGCGGCGCGCCGAGTTGGTGCACGAAGTGGTCGTACACGGCGCAGAAGTAGTGCGAATTTAGCTGGAGGAAGAGCGGCAGGCTGCGGTGCGCGCGCGAAAACTTACACGTCTGGCAGAAAGCGCAGCACCGCGACGGCGCGGAGCGCGAGCTGCTCGGCGGGCGCGAGCGGCGGCGCGGCGCGGGCGGCGCCAGACGCGCTCTCGCAGTCACTCTCGCGCTCGCTCTCGGTCCCGCTATCGGTCCCGCTATCGGTCCCGCCATCGGTCCCGCCATCGGTCTCGCGCTCGGTCTCGCTCTCGGGGTCGGTCTCGTTCTCGGGGTCGTTCTCGCGTGGAGCGTAGCTGAGAGGGCGAACGGGCAGATCACTTACGCCGCGCGGCGGGCCGCGATTTGCGCGCGGAGCGCGGCGAGGCCTGCGCGGTGCGGCGGGACGCGCAGCTTCGAACTAGACTGGCCCATGGTTAATAGGCATATATATTTTTGGCAATTATAAAAGCCTCACGGACGGAGGTGCATCGCAACGCAGACGCGAATGGCGCTAGGCGGACGGGTGGGCAGTGTGGGCTTCGCTGAGGCGGCGCGATGCGGGAACGGCGCGCAGCGCTGAACTTCGCGACGCGCGCTGCGCCGTACGCGCTACGACGGCCGAAGCTGGAGCTGGACACGTCGACCGAGTCTACGGCGTCGCCGGCGTCGTCGCCGGCGTCGGTGGGGCGCGCAGAGGCGGTGCTGCGGGACGTCGGCGAGGAGGCGACGGCGGGCGAGCCGCAGCGGCTCGGCGCGCTGTGTCTGCGAGACGTGATAATCAGTTGTTCGCACAACACGTACTTGCTCGGCAACCAGTTCGTCGGGAAGGCGCGCGTCGCGGGCTACCGCATGGCGTTACTGACCGGCTGCCGCTGCATCGAACTAGACTGCTGGGACGGCGTGGCGGGCGTGCCGTGGGTGTACCACGGGTTCAGCCTAACGCGGCCGGTCGCATGCGAGGCGGTGCTGCGCGAGTGCGCGCAGTTCGCGTTCGCCGTGACGCCGGCGCCGCTGATTTTCTCGCTGGAGCTGCACTGTTCGGCGCCGTACCGCACGGCGCTGGCGGAGCTGTTCGAGCGCTACTTTGGCGCGCGGCTGGTGCTCAACGAGTTGCGCGGCGGCGAGCCGGCGCGCTTTGCCGAGACGCCGCTGCGGCTGCTCTGGCGGCGCGTGCTGGTCAAGTGCAAGGCGCCGGCGGCGGTGAAGAGCGGACGCACGCGAAATCCCGTCGCGCGCCTGCTGCAGAACCGCGCGGGCGCGCGCGGCGCGCCAACTTCCGCGCAGCTCGATGCGCCAGCTGGCGAGCCGTCTGACAAGCCGTTTGGCGATCTTTTGGACGAACCGTGTGGCGAGCCGTGTGGCGAGCTGTCTAACAAGTCGTCTGGTAATCCTTTCGACGAGCCGGCTGGCGCGCCATTTGGCAAGCCATTTGGCAAGCCATTTTGCAAGCCGCATGGAGAGCCGTTCGACGAGCTACTTAGCGAGCCGCTTGGCCAGCCACTTGGGGAACCGTTCGACGAGCCGCTTGGCGAGCCGCTTGGAGAGTCGTTCGACGAGCCGTTCGAAGAGCCGCTTGGCACGCCGCTTGGCCACACGCTTGGCGAAGTGTTCGATGAACCGCTCGGCGCGCTTCTTGGCCAGGCGGCAAGTCGGGCGTCCGCGCAGCCGCGCGCCGCGCCACAACGCGAGCGGCTCGAGCGCATCATCAGCCTGCCGTCGGCGCGGCACGGCAAGCAGCAGGCGCCTTTGGCCGTGACCGTCTTCTCGCGCTCGCAGTTCGACGCGCTGCTACGCAAAGACGCCGCGCGGCTGGAACTGCTGACGCGCGTTTCGCTAGTCCGCACGTTTCCCGACGCCTGGCAGCTGCTCTCGCGGAACTTTGACCCGTCGCCGAGCTGGCGACACGGCGTGCAGATGGTCGCGCTGAACTACCAGCGCGTCGACAAGTTCCTGCTGGTCGCGCTGGGGCTCACGGGCAGTTTCGGACTCGCGCCGCGCGCGCCTGCGCCCGAGCCGCGCAGCCTGCGGCTGCGTGCCGTCTACGCACACCTCGCGACGCACGAGCTCTGTCGCCTGGACTTCGACTTCCGCGTCTACACCGTCGCGGACACGCTCCGCGCCGCCGCGCCCACGTTGCTACGGCTGCGCGCCGGCCGCTGGAGCTGCAACCCGCGCAACTCCGTGTGCGAGAACTTGGCCGACGCGAACTTCACAGTTTGCGTGTTCTCGCTACGGTGCCGCGCCCACGGCACGCGGTTCGTGCGCAGCGTCCGCGCTTCGACGCTAAAATCGAGAATTAGCAAAATTCTATTGTGGGACGATAATCTAATTTTACACGACAGCGCCTACGTGCTGATTGACGCAGAGATCGGTCACAGGCTCTGAGTCCGCGCGCGCGATGGTCCGGTTCGACGCAAGCGACAACCAAGAGTTCGTGCAGAGCGTGCAGTTCACGAATGTGCGCCGCGTGCTCGAGAACTCACTGCTGGCCTGCCGCGACGCGCTCGTGCAGAGCTATTTGGACGCGAGCAGCGAGCAGTCCGCGGAGAGCGCGTTCCGGTTCAACTTCTGGGTGCGGCTGCGCGGCGTGCGCGAGCTACTGCTCAAGAACGCGGCGATGCTCTCGCTGTACGACGACAAAGACGCCATTTTGCAACTCGTCTCGCTCGCGACGCACATGCGCTCGATTCGTGAGAACTTGCGCGTCGCGTGCGGCTCGCTGTACGAGGTGATCTGGCCGCCGCTCGGCGCGCGCCCCATGACGCTGCTTGGGCTGCCGCTCGCTCAGGCCGTGAATTTGCTCGTCGCCGGCGACCCGCGCACGCTCGCGGCGCAGACGCACAGCGTCGTCGCGCGCGCGGGGCTGCTTTCCGAGAACATGCTGCAGGAGCACGAGGTCAGCGACAAATTCCTCGCGCTGACCAATCAGCGGCTCTCCGCAATGCTCAGCAGCAGCTTCGCGCTGCTCAAGGCGCGCGCGCGACACGTGGAAGTCAGCCGCCACCTGCGCTTCTCCGTGCACATGAGCCGCTTCCGGCTGTTCTCGCCGGACGAGTTCGACCTGAGCGTCGTCTCAAACCTGCGCGTGTTCCGCGTAGAGAGCTTCAAAGTGCTCGTGGGCGTCGCTGACTGCGCCGCACACTGCTTTCGCGACCCGCGCCAGCAGCACTGCACCTGCGCGTACCCTTACCAGCTGGGCGCCGCCTGCACGAACACGCTTCAAAGCTGCGTGAACATCGTCAGCGAGGCAATTGAGTTCTTGCAAAACGCTGTGCACATCGAGATGAATGCGTACAAGGCGGGCGCCAACGCGCTCAAAGAGGTTCGCGGGCAACTGCGCGACCTGCTACTGCTCTCACAGCCGACTGCGACCGCCGCGCCCCGCGCGCCGCAGACGCGCCCTGCGCCTCCACAAGGACCTTCGCCCGAGGAGCCGCAGCCCACGCCTGACGCGCAGGCGACCGTGCGCGAAAAACCGCAAGCGCCGCCAGAACCGCCACAAGCCATCCAGTCGAAGCCTGAGCTGGAGCCGAAGCTGAAGACTAAGTCGAAGCCTGAGCCTAAGCCGGAGCCAGAGCTCGAATCGAAGCCTGAGTTGGAGCTGGAGGCTGAACTGGAACCGGAGCTGGAGGCGGAGCTGGGGCAGTTCGTCGCGCGCTTCGACATTGAAGCGTTCCGCCAATTGGGAACCGCTGCGGCGGATTCGACGGCGCGCGCGCGAACCAGCGCGCGGGCTGCATTCGCGTCGCTCGCAGCGCGCGCTTCGCAACTCACCGCCTCGCAGTTTCACGTGCTGCTGCGCCGGCTGTACGCGCAGCTTCAGACGCAGGAGTTGGCGTACGTGCAGCACGCGCAACGCGTGAAAGCCGACCTCGCGCAGTTGGGCAACCTAGAACTGCTCAAGGAGTTTTACCTGTTTTTCCAGTTGTGGGCGTACCGTTGCGCGCGGCTCGCACTCGTGCTGATTCTGCACCGCCAAGCGCAGATCGCGGCGCGCTCACTGGTCCCGCAGGGCGGCATCGTGCATGTGACGCTGCTCAAAGTCGAACAGGACCGGAACGAGCTCGCTTCGCCGGAACAAAGTCTGCTGCGCGAGCTGTTCCAGCGCTACTTGCCGCAGGCTTTCGAGCGCTGGGCCACGCAAAGCAGCACGCCAAGCTCCACGCCGTTCGCTTACTTGCTCGGTCCGCGCGTGTTGCCCACGCACAACGACGTGCTCACCATCGACTGCTTGCCGGCGTACCCACTGCGCCTGCTCTGCGCGCTGTGCGACGTGCAAACGCCGCTGAAGATCCCGCAGCTGCAGTTCGTGCTGCGCAACGAGACGGCGCACTTCTCCTTTTGCGCGCGGCCGCTCGACGAGCTCGTCCGCTCGCCATTCGTCGAGCGCGCCGCGCTTCGCGGGCTGCAGGAATTCGCCTTTTTTTTCCACGACGCGCCCGACGCCGCGATGCCGAACAGCACGAGCGAGCTGGCGGTCGCGCAGTTCGGCGTTCGCCTCAGCGTGTTCATCGACCGCATGATTTCTTTCCTGGCGGACTTCGCGCTGTACTGCGTCGCGAAGGCGATTTCCAGCGCGCTGGCGGTCGCACACACCGCGGTGCGCCGTGCAAACGCCACGCAAATTATTTTGTGCGACGCGCTGGAAGTCACGCTGCAAGTCAACCGCCTGACCGGCGCGCTGGAGCACGAAATCTGGGCCACGGGCGACGGCGGCAAAACGCGAACCACGTACTCACAAAGTCTCAAGCACAAGCTGCTCCACGGTGACCTGAGCGACTACTGCGCGCAGCTGCAAGACGTCGCAGCGGCGCTCGGCGCGAAGCGCGCGAAGCGCTGCACTGCGAGCTAGTGCGCGTCGCGCGCCGCTGCGCGCGCTTCGGCGGCCGCCTTTTGCCGGAGCAGCGTGCCGTATTTCGCGCTGGCGACGCCGGCCGCGGCTTTCGCTTCTTCGCGCCGCTGCTGGAGCGAGTCAAACGCTGCGCTCACGACGGCCCAGAACTTCGGGTTGTGCGGCGCAACGGCAGGCGGCTGCGCGGCTGCGCGCGGAGCAGCAGAACTCTCGCGCTCGGCTTCTTCACGGAGTGCCTCGCGCACGCGGGTAACCTCGCGCGCAAGCAGCGCGTCGCCCGTGGTCGCGCGCGCCGCGGACAGCTCGTCTGCGACCTCGGCAATTTGACTCATTTCTTTTTAGAATTTCGGTCTAAATCGAATCCGCGGGCAATGCATCAGTCCTACGCGGATCTCACGAAGAGCCTCGAGCAGGAGCTGCTTGACTTCTCAAACCCGAATGGACCGCCGAGGGTCAAACACATCGTAAGTCCGCGGCTGCCGCATGCAGAACCGGCCGAAGGAGTTTGTCGCGAACAACCCGATGAAGCTAGTCTGCGCGTCCGTGATCTACAAAAGCATCTACAACCAGCTGATGCAAAAAGTCGCGATCTTTCAAAACAACCTGCAGGCGTTGCAGGCGCAGCAGCGCGAAATCACAGCGTCGTTCCAGGCACTCGCGGTGCAGCCCGGCGACGAGCTGCTCTTCCCGTACAGCGACGTGTGCTATCTGCGCGGCCGCGCGCAGGCCGGCTCCCGCGCGCTGCTGTCGCTCGGCCTGCAGGTGCTGGTGGAGGTGGACGACGCGGAGGCGAAGGAGTTGCTGAGCCGGCAAGCCGAGGCGATCGCGACAACGCTCGCAGACCTGCAGTCGCAGTACAAGGACGCGCGCGCGGACATGCTCACTTGCGAGATTTCGCTAAACCAGCTGAGCTTGCTGCAGACAGAGCTGCAGAAGGCGATGCAGGCTCAGGCGGCGGCGAAGAACGCGACGGAACGGAAGTAGCGAATCCGCGCGGCGAAGTCGCCGAAGTGGCTGCAGCGCACGGGCCACAAGAGCGCTTCGGGCCAGAGCGAACGCGCGAGCGTCGCGGCGTTCTCCGCGAGTTTCTGCTCGAGCAGCGCCGCGCGCGCGGCGTCTTTGCGCGCGCGCCAGTAGCCGAGTTGCAGCTCTAGCAGCTGTTGCGCGTGCGCGGGCACGTCTGCGTTGCGCGGCGCAAGCTCCGCCGCCTTCGCGAGCCACTCGCGCGCAGAGCTCCACTTGCGCACGTCCATGAAGGCGCGCGCGGCGGCGAGGCAGGCATACAGTTCTGCGCCGCAGCGCTCGAGCGCATCGAATGCGACGGCGACTTTCTCCTCGCGCGGCGCGAACACGACGCGGAAGTAGTCCGCCAGCGGGCCGTGCCGCGTTGACGCAAGGCTCACCGCGGAACTGCTCGCGCGCGCGGCGGCTTCGTCGGCCAGCTTGGCGACGGCGCCGGCGAGGCGGATCTCCGCCGCGTCGGGGTGGCTCAGCAGAAAGATGTGGTGCAGCGCAAAAGCTTTGAGGAACTGCTTGCGCGCCACGTGGAGCCGCAGCGCGGCTACACAGCCGGCCGCGCAAAGCGCGCCGCGCGCCGCGAGCGTTTGCGCGAGCGCTTCTGCGGTGACCTGCAGCTCCGGCTGCGCGGCGCAGAGCTGCAGGAAGGGGGCCGCGACGCTCGAAAGTTGTGCCTTCTCGGTGTCAGCGGCGAGTTGCGCGCGCAGCCAGGCGTCTGTCTGCGCGGCGGCCTCGCCGACGGGCAGCGTCGCGAAGAGCGCTGCGAAGCGCAGCGGCGCAGTCGCCGCGCGGTCGCCGCG